GGGTCACAGGTCTCCAAGTCACCACCGAATACTTTTTCAAAGTGGCTGACTTAAGTCCAGATACAAAATGACTGTACAAGTCCCAGGTGTACCCGCCTACCCCCTCACAAAGGGACACTTTTACTGCCCCATCGCTAAGTATTTATAAGCTACTGATCGGATAACGTTTTAAAACTCTAGCTGGAGGTGGACATCAAGCTCATGGGCATCCACAATGTCCCCATGATTAGAAATCAGGGCACAGGCTGCCCACCCAGATTGTGTCTGTCTCATACTACTGCTGTACCATCAGAGGAAGACCAAGGCTCTGGCTCAGGGGTCTGACTGCAAGTTTTCCTGAGAATGTTAATTAGTCCTGATTGTACTGTATTGTGGTTCTCCCACATACACCACACACCAGAATCATCTGGAAGACCTGTTCAGACCCATCTTTCTGGCCCCTGCCCTAGACTGTCTGATTCCATAGATCAGAGGTGCGTAGGAGAATCCGTACTTCTGGCCAGCATGCAGGGGAGGTCGTGGTTGGTGGTCCAGGGACCATGTCGTAAAATACTGGTTTTAGAGCAGCAAATTAGGATAATAAAGACACAAAGGCCTTATTACTATACCCAGGTAGAAGACTCATCCCATATTCTAAGAGGAAAAAAAAATATACAACAGGAGTGGAGGCGTTCATTTTACCTTTATCCTTTGTAATTTCACCACTCCCTTCCCCTATCTTTTTGGGGTCTTACCGAAATATAATAAACCTTTTTTTTTTCTTCTATGTTGCTGGTGACTGAGCCCAGGACACCACACATGTTAGTTGAGGGCTCTGCCACTGGGCTCCTTCTTTGGCAGTGCTCCTTTGCTTTTCTTAATATTTTCAGCAGCTCAAACCCATGCCAGCTTTGGCCTTCCTGATGTCATTCTTCTAGGGCCCCAACACTAATTCCTGATTCTGTGCAAGACAGGGTGGTGCTCAGGGGCCACGGGGAAGTTCTGAACCTGTCCCTTCTCTGTCTGTCATAGAACCTTAAGCAAGTTGCTCCCTACAGTTCAGCTTTTCTGTCTTTAAAATGGCAGTAGTTCTTGAGTTACACGAGATGTTTACCATGGTATCTGTACATATGCTTTAGCTAGGATACACTCTTTACCTAGGGTGCCTATCTGTTCAGCTTCAAACCCTCCACCCTAGCACTCAGACAAGATGGGGTGTGTTCAGGGTGGTGTGACTGGAGATCACCCTAGCAATCAGGAAGGCAGAATGTCATTAGAGCCTGTCTTTATGCTTTCTAAAAGATTTCTCAGATGGAAGAAAGAAAGAAAGAAAGAAAGAAAGAAAGAAAAAAAAAAGATTCCTTAGAAGCAAAAGAACAGGGCCAGCCAAATAGCTCAGTGGATTAAAATGCCTGCAAGCAGGCAGAGGGGCCAGGGGTTTGATCTCTGGGCCTGCCGTGCTGGTCCCACCCCCGGGGCACACTGAGATGGCAATTGAGACTGGGCGTGGTGGAGCGTGCCTGTAATCCCAGCTCTTGGGAGGCTGTAAACAGGTAGATCACTATGAGTCTGATCTAGTAGTGAGACCATGAACATCCTGCAGACACTTCCCCAAAATGTAAAAAAAAAAAAAAAGGAATGGAAGCAACAGCCAAGCAAATCTGGGAGGGCTGAGCCAAAGCTAAATGTTTGCCTGGTTAGGGGACAGAAGGCTTTCATTCAACAAGATGGTGTTATACCCAGGCATTCTGTTCTTCCAGCTTGTCCCACCTGGTGGCAGAGCTGTCTCAGACTCTGAGCAGCTGCAGCGCATATTCAGAGCCTTGATGCACTGGTAAGCAGTGTGGCGACTCCAAGCACAAAGCTCTCCTTTCCCCTGTCCACCCCCATCACCAGAAGTGGGTCTGTGCAAATTTCTGCTCCACCCAGTATGCTGCATACAAGTAAAAAAATATGGCTTTTCTTCCTGGTTGTGCCACTTAACGGCTGGGAGGCCTTGTCGAAATCACCCACCTTGTCTAAGCTTTAAGGCCTTCATTTTACATAGCACCTAGGAGGCTGAGGTAGGAGGCTTGGAAGTTTCAGTGCCTCCTGGGCAACTTGGGGAACTCTTGTCTCAAAATAAAAAGTAAACAAAAATGTTGCAAATATAGCTCAGCTCAAAGGCCCTCGGTTCAATTACCATAACACACACACACACACACACACACACTCCTCATTTGCACTATGAACATACCAGAGTTTTGCAAAAATCAATTCTTAGTTGAAATTCCCACAAGCAAAATCCAAGGGTTCCAATTCCTCCACACCCTTGATGATACTTGTTATTGTTTTTCTTCATACTAGCCATGCTAGTGGGTGTGTAATGGTATCCCATTATGGTTTTGTGTTTCCCCAATAATTAGTGATGCTAAATATTGTGCTGGATGCTAATTGGCTATCTTAATATCTTCTTTGGAGAAATGTCTATTCAAGCCCTTTGCCTAGTTCTGAATCGGGCTGCTGGCTTGTTTTTTTTCTATTGTAGGAGTTCTTTATGTATCTCAGCTGCTAATCCCTTATCAGATATATCACATGTAGACATTTTTCTCCATTCTCTGGGTTTATTTTTACTCCCTACAGAGATTGTCCTTTATGTAAAATGCTTTTAATTGTATTCTAAGTTAGATTTTTTTCTAAGTGAAATGTACTTTTAAATAATTAAAATGGTAAATTTAATTTTATGCATATTCTATCACAAGAAGTTTATCTCTCCATGCATCTGCTATCCATGGGATTTAGTGGCAATGGATTTTTAAGTAAGTATACAATATGAGTTTACAAACTACAGCCCATGAAGAGGGCTCCAAAGTGAAGAGCTCAGGACTAACTAGGAGGATTCAGTCCCTTGCTCTGACTACTATAGAATCCTGTCGTCCTGCTTGCTTTCCCCTGTGGCTCCACTTCTGCCCCCTGGTACCATTTCTTGAGTCTAATCCCTTCCCCACATGGCAGCTCTCCTGACACTTGGTGGCGGCAGCTAGGATCGTGTTAGCCCCCCGATGGACGCCCCCACAACCCCTGTAGAGCATGGATGCGTGTTCTAAAGCAGGCAGTACAGTTCCCCAGGGAGAAGACAGAGAAAGCAGAACTTGGCTGCAGGGGCCACAATGCAACGAAGCAAGTAAAGGAATTGGCTCTTGAACATTCAGCGGCATCTGTATTTGGGATACAAGGCCACCTTGTCCCCGGCTGGGTTGCACCTCCCCATTTAACCATCTCCACAACCCCTTGGTTTCCCCCACGAGGCTTTGCTCTGCATCCCTCACCAGCCCTGGTCCTCTCTGGCAATGTACTCCAAGTTGGCCTCACCGAGGCAGAAGCCAGCAAGCCCTGCCTCTCAGTGTGCACACTGTCACCCTGCCCACTTTTCAGAGACACGATGTGAACGCAGCACTCTCAGCCCCAGTGGCCCCATGAAGGGAAAGGACATTAGAAACACATTCCAATGCCCCAGCAGACCCTTCTCCGCACCTCTTCCCCTTCCCAAAAGCAGGGCCAGCCCACTCATCCCTGCAGTTTTCTTTCCTCCCTGGAGCTCCTGCAAAGGAAGATGCCATGATCCCAGGATTAACAGCCTGTTTGTTTAAAGAGCTTATTACTGGTGCTTAATGCTATTTTGACAGATGAAAGTGAGTTAATTATAGCTGGAAACAGCTCTGGCTGCGTAAGTTTCTTCCACATAGTTGCCCATTCCCTGTCTATGGATTTTTTTTTCCTTGGTTACCAGAGGGCAGTATTTTCCTTCTCTTAGCCTTTGGAACCTCCAAAGGATTGCAACAGTTTCTTCTGTTCAGGAAGAACAATACTTAAAACAATAGAGCCTATGTCCACAAGCTGAGGGTTGCTGTGGCTGTCCCTTGCTGAGACAGGTACTATGTGGAGATAACAAAGGGAGCTGGACAGGTCAGCCCAGGTGGTCCAGGGAGCCATGTCTGGACAGATGTCACTGCCTCCACCAGCCACAGTGTGGTTGCCTCTTACTGAATATCTCCTCAGGCGTTTCTTTCTGGGTGGAGGTGGTGGTGCAGGTGGTGGAGGTGGTGGTGGATTCCCTATGTCCACACCCACCAAAACGAGTCCAATATTGGTCCTAGGTTTGAGTACATCAGAGTCATCTTTATGGTCACCAAAGTCCTCTGTGGGTGCTCAAAGGGCTTCTTGGCATGAACAGGAGGCCCAGTGGGAACTATCCCAGTGGCCTTCAGTTGGTGATGCCATGCTATGCTGGGCTTTCCCACACCCCAGGGACGTGCTCTGGTCTCCCACACAGTGCGCCTGGGTGAAAGCTGCGAAGTCCAAGCATGGTGTATGTATTTGTAGCAGGCACTTCAAGCCCAAGAACGAACTCTCCTCCTCTCAACGCCCAAGCGCGCAGGTGTCTCTCGGCTACCCCATCATGGGCATGGTGCCCCACCCACCTCTCCACTCTACCTCTGGTTCTCACTCACCCCGGACTCCTCTCTTCTCTCACCCAGTAGGGCCCTTAGGCAGAGCCCTCAGCTGGCCCTGCGGCTGCTCCTCTACTGTGTAGCGCAGACCCCTGATGATGGTGACCCTGAGTGTCTCTGCTGACATTTTCCTCACGGTACTCGGCATTTCCAGCACTGTCCCCTCATTCAGCCTCCACATTCCTCTCCTCTCACCCTTTCCACCTCCATTTTTCCCACGAGTAAACTCAAGTCTGGAGAGCTGAAGGTGACATATTAGAAGCCAATCCACTTGATTCCTATTTTCTTCAGAATCACCTAGCTGGGATGGCCGATGGCTGACACCCTGGCCGCCCTCTCCTCTCCCGCAGTCACAGCCTCTATTCTAGCCTGGATACAGCTTTAGGATCATCCTTAACGCAGCCTTCCAGGTAGGTGCTACCAATTGGGCACAGCTGGCATGCCAGGTGCAGCCCATGAGCCAGCTCTGCTAATTTCTCCAGAAGGGGAAAGGGAAGGGTGCGAGAGGGGAAAGGGGCGGGATTGGCTCACCCGCGAACGGCGTGCAGCAGGCGCAGCGAGGGGTAGGCGGTGCGCACGTTGACGCGGTGCTTCAGGATGAGCTCATTGACCCAGTCCACGCGCTGCTTGCCTCCGCGAGCCATGAAGGCGGGGATCCACAGGATGCTGCCATTCAGGCCTTGCAGCCGCTGCAGCAGCTTCTCCCGCCAGGTGGCGTTGACCAGGTCCTCGAAGGCCCGCTGGATGACCGAGGGGTTCATGGTCACTAGGTCTGTCTTGAGCCCTACGTCCCGGGCATACTCCTGCACCGGAGCCAGGTTGCACCTACAAGAGATAAAGGCAGCGTGGTCCGGGTGGGGAAGGCCGAGCCCTGTTTGCGAACTTGATCTCGTGCTTCTCTCCCGCCTCTTCCTCTTCACGGCATAAACCAGGGCACTTTCTCAGACCTTGGGCCTCTCCTGGCAGCCCGCCCCCCACTGCAGCTGCAAATGCTTACTGAGCCCCTACCACGCCCTAGGCTAGGCCTGGAGGACACAGAATACCTCTCTCTGGAGTTTAGGATCTGGGGAGGAGCAGGAGGGCCAGCTATCAACTCAAAAAGGAGGGGGATGAGGAGGACGCTGTTAGCAGGTGTGACCTGCACCCTTTGGTGACACAGCCCGGGCCAGCGCCCACAGCCCTTCCTGCGTGGTTCTGCGCAGCCTCTGGGCTTCCCACGCTCTTCAGTCACTCCAGCAGTGGAGAGGGAATCACAGACTTCTCCCCCACCCCAGGGATCACAGGAGTCAGAAACCCAGAGCTCAGAGTGCGACTGGGAGGGTCATCTCTGCAGATGATGAGTACTGACCCTTAGGGAAGGAGTGGCAGGTGGTGACTACAGAGGGACATCAAGGGGGTGCACGAGGGGAAACCCACTGGTGGACAAGGCACGGGAAGAGCAGCTGCTCCCAGAGACCCCTGGGGTACTGGTTAAAAATGCAGATTCCTCAGTCTCTCACCGAGAGGTCTAGCTGCAGCAGGACTCAGAGGTCAAGAATGTGTGTGTGTGTAAGCATGTATAAATAACATAGTATTTTGCAAGCTCTGCCTCTTCAGCTGCCAAGCAGTTCAAGAACATCATGCCATGCCACAGAGTTTTAGACACAACAAAGGTACCCCAGGGCGGAGAGGTGAGAAGCAGTCACGGGTGGTTAGAGGGAGGCAAGTGATCTGACTAGGGTGCAGCCTGGCGTAGAGAAATGTGCCAGGTAAGGTCTCAGCAGGTCTACACATCAGGCACTTGGTTCTGAGGGTGACAAGGAACTTGGAAGGTCCTTATACAGGACAATAATGGGAGAAGGTTTCCATTTGGGCAACGGACAGTAAGAGGCAGCAGCAGGGGACTTACTGGAGGGAATGGAGTTGCAGGTTGGAGAGCCACTGAGGCAACAATGACCTTTTGCTGAGCCAGTGAGGATGCCTGAGTGGGCAGCCTCTGCCATTTTAGAGGACTGGCTTGCCGGGACTGGGCCACCTACACTCCTCCCAGGCTCCCCGCTTGTACTAGGGGCTGGTGGCATAGGGATGGGCAGAGGAAGGGCAAAGTCCTTGGAGCAGAGAGAACATGTCTGGGAAGTTAGAGTACACATGTACCGAGCAGAGATGGGAGACACAGGACCAGCACCACCTGCCGTCACCAGGTGATGAAATGCAGGAAGTCACCATCCTTTTCTGACCATGACATACGCAAAGACATTGCATCTTTAAATGAGGAGAAGTAGAACAATCAGAAAGCTCAATTGTGGAGCCCCTAGTACATGCCAGCCCTTGCTGGTCCTTTAATGCAGGTTAGCTCATTTTATGGTGACCCAGTGTCAACCACATTCACTTTACAGTTGAGGAAACTGAAGCTCAGAGTGTGGGAAGCAGTGTAGCCAAAGTCCTGGAGCTCCTAAGGATTCTACTAGGATTCAAGCTCAGAGTGTGGGAAGCAGTGTAGCCAAAGTCCTGGAGCTCCTAAGGATTCTACTAGGATTCAAGCTCAGGGGTGTCTGATACAGAGGCTTGTTAACCATTTCCAATGGAACCCCTCAAAAACATCTGCCAACATTTCCATTCCCAGGCTTTGCTATCACTGACCTTGATCCGATACTGCAAGGTGACAGAGTTGCCTGGGGACACCTTCAGAAGCCCTTGCCACAGGCATGGAGATTGGGTATCACTGTCACTAAGTTACCTACTGCTTCAAGCACGACTGAGCCAGCCTCCTGAAGCACCCCCAAGCTGGGGCCTCTTCCCCACCAACCTTCAGGTCCAAAGAGCAGGACAAGAGACATCGAAGCAGTTCATACACACTGGGGTCCCCTGTGGGCCAGAGAGAGCTGTAGGGGAGTAGGAGGGGGGCAGAAGGGTGACCTGCCCCATCCCCCTATTGGGAGGTGTCCACTGAAAGGGAGTGGGAACCTGGCGCTGCACGCTCCTGGATTGGGGGCTTCATTCGGCAGAGGCCTTGGCCCCAGTAGAGGCTCTGTGCCTGCAGGAGCACAGGAAGGACTTGGGGAGGAAGGTGGAGCCAGGCTTTTCTAGCCTACGTCCCAATACGAATGCTGAGCACATGTGGGGGTCAGCGATGGTCGGCCTTATTGCTTCTACACCAGGTTAAATGCCTTCATTTAGGAAGGACATGAGTATTGAGGTGGGGGGTGGAGACAGGGTGGACAGAGCATCAACAACGTAACACGCCTTTGTGCTGTGGGACACGGCCTGGTGCGTCCACGTATACTGTGCATCCCACTCGAGGCTCATGGCGCCCCACTCCACTCCTCTGGGGTGTTGGCTAGAAAGGCAGCTCAGGCCCCACCACGTTTCAGTAATCCAGATGACGCATGGATCCCACAGGTCCCTGGGACAGGGACACCTCAGCTGACACTCTTGGTGGAGCGGGGCATGGGCTGAGAGCCTGACACTGTGTCAGGAAGGTGACCGGAGCCCACCAGGCAGAGACATTTACCCTGCACCCTCTTAATATCCACCTCTGTTCCCTGCTCGCCTCCGTTAGCATCCAATGAGCCTGCTGTGCTGAAGGGCTTAGAAAAATGGGGACTGAGCCATCAATTCCGACAGCCCCAGAACGAGCTGGCCAAGCAAAGGACAGAAGTGGCTTTGACTGCGGGCTGTGGGAGCTCCCAGGGGATGCAAAGAGTACTTCTCCCATGTCCTTAGCTTGAGGGAGCTCTGTGATCAGGCCGCTTCCCAAAGCCTGGGACAAGCTTCTCTGCTTCAGGACAGCCCCAGCAGAAACGTGAGCTGGGGTGTGCAGTTCTGCCGGGGCTGGGAGCCGTGTGGGATGAAACTTGAGGCTCCAGGAGCTTTACTTTTCTTGTTTCCGAGTCTGTGTGGGGCCAGGTGTCAGGGCACTGGGTAACTATGTTAAGTATAGTACCCAGGCTTTTCTGTCACCCCCTCACTTCCCAGATTTGGATTACAGGGTAATGAAGTCACTAGGAGAGCCCCACCTTCCAGCACCCTGGAAAGAACTCTGCCAATTTAAAATAACAGCTGTCCAGCAAAGGGATTTTCCTACCAGCTTCCTACAGCAGGCTCTTACGGTCAGCAAACTTCTGCAAAGGGCCCAGCTGTGAATGCTCTCAGCTTTGGGTGGTCTGTGTGCTGCCTTAGCAACAATGTCTGTCCACTCTGCCAGCCGTTCTACACGGCACTGTGACAGAAACCAGCTGGGTAGTATGCAAATAAGCCAGTGGCTGTGTTCCAACAAAACTTTATTTACAGAACTACACCAAAGGCTATCGTCTGCCTACCTCTGCTCTGACTCGGTGACTCAAGTTCAGCTGTACCTCAGAATCACCTGAGCTCCTGGGTCACACAAGTCCTGGCCTCTGTCTGTCACCCAGAAGATTTCTGTGGTTGGAGGTATAATCAGGACATGGGCACAAAGTTCCCCAAGGAACTCTGGTGCAGCGCTGAGGCTGAGAGCAGGGACTACTCAGGGTGTCTTGTGGCATCTTGGGCCACCTAACCGTCCTCTGGGTCCCAGTGCCCCCCCAGGGGTTACCTTATGACAAAGCTGTGCATATCGATCTCCTGCCCGCAGCCACTGTTCAGCAGGACCCCCGAGTTGCCCACGATGGCACAAGTCCTGAAATGCTTATTCTTCAGGGGTGAGGTTCTGGGCAGGAGCTCGTAGAGGTTCTGGGACACATTCATCGTGCTGTCTCGGTCAAAGATGTAATGAATTATGTCTCCGGGCTTCAGAGTCCCCTTGAGGACGGAAATATCCTTCTCAGCATCCAGGAACTTTAAAATTTGTTTCCTATGGAAAGCAAACATGCTTGAGGAGAGATCATGTTTCTTGGTGCCCTTTGGTAAGCCGGATCTTCCTGGCCCTCCATGCTGCCAGGAGGTTGTAGCTCTGCAGAGAGGCCAAGAGTTTAAATGTTCTGAGGAATGGATCTCAGACCTCGTGGAGGGCCCAGAAGGGAGGAGACCTTGCAGGCAGGTGGCCTTCCGCCCCGGGGTCTGGGTAAAGGACTGGATGTCCCCTGTCCAGGAAACTATTCAGTCTTGGGCAACCCCTCCGAGCCACACTCTCTTATAGGGATTCAGGACCACCAGGGATCTAAGGCGTCCTGACCAGAAGCAGCAAGCCAAGAGGCCACATGTCCTCATGGTCTGCCTTCTTCATGGAGGGCTCTTCTGGCTGAGGGGATGCCAGAGAGCCTGAAGGGGAGCCCAGTACTGAGGGAACAGCACCATGCCCACCTCTGAGACACCGAGGTGCTTGCTGCCTCTGGGTTGGTCCATTCAGTGGGGCCTGTACCCCTCCCCAATGCTGCCAGTAGGGGGCTTGGCAGGCTCAGTAACGTGCTCCTCTCTGTTGTTTCTAAACAAAGCTGAGCAAAGGGTGGCGCTCTGGGCTCCAAGGAAATTTAACTTTGATTGTGGGGAAAAGTTTCAGATCAAAGCAGAGAGAAGCAATGAAGTCAGGTCGGGAGAGAGAGGGGCATCTTCTTGGAATCCCCAGGGGGTAGTCTTTCCCAAAGCCCTGGGGAAGGACAGGGGAGCCTGAGCACCCCATCTAGGGTTCTGCTTAAAGGACTGCCTGAGTTATCTGAAAGATCTTTAGAAATGATTGAAGTCATAAAGAGCAAGAGAGAACTCAGATCAACTCGAATGAACTTCGCTTCCTGCAGTGAGCCCCAGCCTAGAGCTGACACAGGAACCCTGGCCTTCCTGTCTGCAGAGCCTGAACCCGCATCTGCACACGCACTGCACGAGAAGAACCTGGCGGGCAGCCGCCCCATTTTACAGATGGCAACACTGCTTCCCGGGAGCCTGCTGAGCTCGAGGTGAGCATTTCCTGAGGGACTGCACATCTAATGGCTTGGGAGCTAAAAGGAGCTTTGGGGCCGCAGACACCGGAGACATCCTGATGCTGAGGGGCTCCAGTTCCGGTGGCTCTGACGTGTGCCTAGCCGTGGACGCTGTGGCACAGCTGTGGGGCAGTTAGGGCACGTGGCAGACCGTGGCGCTCTCTACCCACTCGTCTTTTGACATGAGTGAGCTGGATCTCTTAATAGGGTGCAAGGGAAATCAATTTGTACCTCTTGATGGAAAACAGAGGTGTTATTTTATTTATTCTGCTTTCCTAAGAATTATACAACTCAACACACGAATACAGCTTAGAAATTGCTAAAACCCTCACAATTACTTATCCCAAAGTATTTAAAAGCAAAAGAGAGCCCCAGAAAGCCCATAAATACAGTCAGCACCTTTGTGAGGGAATTAATTTCTAACTAATGATGAGAAATTACTATCAATTATTAAGCACCATTCCAAGTCGCTGGCAAGACCTTTTATCATGAATAACTTGGGTTATTAATTGACTAAACAGGGGACCATCTTTTTCCCTCTGGGTGGAGGCACATGGTTCTTGCCCCGGTGGCTAGGTGTGTGCAAGCTTCTCCTGGGGTTTTGCAAAAGCAGGGAGTGTGTGTGTGTGTGTGTGTGCGCACGCATGCGCGTTGTGCAAGGGAGAGTGGGCTGCAGGTGGTCATGTGTTGGTGGGGGGATGTCACTCTCAGGTGGGCCCCTGGCAGCTGTGCACCCCTCAGCTCCAGGGAGCTGTGAATGTGACCGTATTTGGACACAGCATCTTTGCAGTGTAATTAAATTACAGATCTTGAGATAAGCTCATTCTGGACTCCCTGGGTGGGCCCTAAATCCAGGAATGGCATCCTTAGGAGAGATAGAAGAGGAGACTACATGCACCCAGAGGAGGAATAGGCACCAGGAAGCAGGAAAGAAGGCCTGGAGCCACGAACAGCTAAATTGAACTAAGCAAATAAAAGCTTCTCTTCTGAACCCTGAGCAGGGAGTGCTCAGAATCTTGGTCTCTGAAATGATGAACGAGTGATCTGTATTGTTTCAGCCACCAAGACAGTGCTTATTTGTCCCGGCAGCCCAAGGGGGACCATGGTCTGCCAGACGCAGCAGTGCCCTTGATGAAGGGGGGCAGCAGGCCAGGCAGCGTGACAATGGAGGGATCCCACCCAAGGGGCCTTGGAAGAAGTGCTGAGTGGGGGCTGGGGGTGACAAAAGGTGGCACCCACAGATGGCTCTGGCAGCCACTTTTGCAGCCACCTGCACCTCTGTTCTACACCCTTCATGTCCCCAAATGAAGCCTCACAGCTGGGTAGAGGCTTCCATGTCAGCAGGGAGTCTTCCTAGAGGACACAACTCCCAGCTGTGTGGTCACACTGTCGCCAGCCCCTCTCTGTATCCAGACCTTCCTGGGGAGGTGGCTGCCCCTCACCTTCCTCACATCCCCGTGCCCCCTCCTTCTCTGTGTTCCTGTAGCACCGAGCGAGCACACAGCCAGGCTTTAGGCTCTGCGTACAGGACACAGCTTTATCCACCTGGCCAACTCCTAATTATTCCTAAAAACCAAGTTTGGGCTAGCCTTCCCTTACAAAGCGAGTATAATATCAGTGCATCCTCCTTATTGCCTAATGTACATGATCCACCACCTTGTCCTGTCTTCATATTTGGAGCTCCCTGTCTGAGTTCTGATTCCCATTAGCACTCTGGGAGTGCAGTACACCACCTGCAAATGGATACAGCTAGCTAGAGTATGCTGACCCGTAGCTGTTGGGGACGTCCTGGCTACCTCGAAGCTGAGTGTCCCACATGCTCAACTTGTCATTTCTCCTCTACTTCTCCCCATCACCGCTACCCTGGGATGATGGCAGCCTGCAAACTGCTCTCTGTGAAGGTCAGGACAAGAGCATTCTCTTTGGGGTCAGCGTTCAGCTCAGCTTCTGGATCTCCCAGCTAGAGGTTCTTGTTCACATCTCTGGGGAGAGATGTGTCCTTTCATGTCCCTCCATGGGCAAAGTGGAGGACTGTCACAGAGAGGGACATGAATGCCAAGCAAGCCCAGACAAGGAATGGCTCCATATGCCAGGGAAGGAGAGGCCCCCATGGCCTCTGTCTGTCCCCAGGTGTTGTCTGCCCCCGACCCTCACTGGGGAGTCGCTCCTCCCCTGCCAACAGGCTGTGTCCACCTGCTGGGCTATTCTCCTGGTCATAGGTTTTATTCCCAGATGAAGCCTGCCTCTGCGGGAGGTAAACATTTTATTTCTGTCTTGCTTCTATAGGTGATGGAGCGTGGCAATTTGCCGGCTTGCGCTAAAGCAGGCCAGGTCTGCTGCTTGTCCTGCAGGTAATTACCAGTACCTGATCCTCAGAGAGAGTGTCTGGTTGTGTCTCCATTTGGACGAGGCTGGCTGGATGTTGTGCTTACTGCTTTCATTACTTCTGTCAACAACAGCTGGCGGAGAGGAGCCATTTATTACAACTTCAGCTCTGGAAGGGGAAGAAAAGACGAAGGTAGACGTGATCTGTTAGCATTCCAATGACAAGTCTAATAGTTTTGTTTTTGCACGGGCTTGAATGTAAACTTCAGCAGAGCAAAATTGCAGTTATTACCCAAGAAGGGATGGTGGCCTATTTATCTCCTAGAATGTACAAACTCTCTCCCTCAGGTATAACCAACAGACAGTCTTGGAGACAGGAAGGGTGATAAAACTATTTCTCTCTCCCTCCACTCTCAACGTTTCTTCCTTGTGAAATCTGGCAGTTACTACCAGAATAATAATATTTTCCATTTCAGTGATTGATAAGAAACTCACAAGTAGCAGTTCTATTAGTGGCCAAGTATCCTATGATAGCTTGCAAACCGAATAACGAGAAAACAAAACCGCATACCAGGACAATGTCCTTGTAGCCTGCGGCTTCTACGTCCTGTTCCCCATTCCCATCATTCTTGTTGACATAAGAAACTTCTGCCTGTGACAGCATAATCCGTGCCCTGTCTTTCCTTCTAGACTGCAAGCAGGAGCGTCTCCTACATTCCCTAATGGTCTAGCGTAGCAGGTGCTCAATAAACAAGTGTTCATTGAATTTGATTTTGAAATTGATCCCAGGGGAGCCTGGAATATATAAAGGAGCTGGTTGGGCTTTGTATGCCTGGGGCAGATCACAATTCTCGGTATAGACTGTCTATCCACCTGAATTGGGAACACCAGGCATCAGAGGACTCACTTGAATTCAGAGGCTTGAAATGTATGCTAGTAGGTTTCTAAGAAACTAGGCTACGATTATATCTTTAAAAGCAGAGCAAGAGCCAGGCTGCTTTCTGCTGATGTAGCCACGCTGCATGTGGGTCATATCCCAAGTTCCTTTTGTCTGTTCTGACAGCAGATTCTCCCAGTTAGAACGATAAGTAGATTTGTGAAACCAAATTCTAGAACTAAAAAGAGTTCAAACCAAACATCTCTGTCCTTTGTATTTGGCTTGCAACAGCCACGTTAAAGATGAAACCCTTTTCCTGAGATCTAAACCCAATGCTCTACCTTGCATTTTTTTTTTCAGGTAGAGAAGAGAATAAATTAATTAAGGGATACATTTTGTCTTTCATGCCCCTCCCTTCTCCATTCCAAAAATATTCCTGACTCTTCTGCTGATATCAGTTATTTTGGATTTAAACATACTGTGTGTAACTTTACAGAGAACAAAACGGTTTTGAGTAAGACAGATGGACTTCTAACAGGCAGGCTGAAAAAAGAAGTAACAGAAAACTGGACACTTTGGGATCTTTACTGTTTTCATGAACAGAAGCAGAAGGGGGAGTAGAATATTTCCCTACAATGTGTGACTGGCTAACTCATTTTATCTTTCTGAGCTACAGTTTCCTTCTTTATAGAAGAGGAAGGTATATGTCCCTGAGCATCTAGATTCCTAAAAAGCCTGCTGATATGTTTCCTGCATCTGCCCCTCGCTGTTGTCTTGTAGGGGGCCAGGAAAAGCTGATATGACTGTGTCCCTTTGGCACTGTCTACTTCTGCACGCCCACAGGCAGGACCCATGATCTCAGGGCCAGCTGCCACACTCAAGTCCCCAAGCTTCACTGCGTTTGCATCAGTAAATGCATGTGCTGGAAGTGCTTCAATGCTTGTGACGAGGACTGGACTTCCTAAAACTCTGGTTGGTGCTCACATTAGTAACCAGTGAATGGTACTGGCAGCTCATTGGCTCCAGGTAGATTCAGTCCCCAGGGCTATTCCAAGACCTGGGCATGTGAGATGGCCCCAGACTCATGCAGGATATAGCTGCAGGGCTGGGGTCTCTGGAAGCTTGTAGAAGGGCTTGGGCAGAAGCTACCAAATGAGGGTTCTTGAATTCTCCGACACAGGTTGTGGAAGTAGGAGAAGGGGTGAGATAAATGCTGGCGGGGACAATACTAAAATTTCACGTGGGTCCCTACTTCCTGGGGGAGCCTTGGGTGAGGTCTTGCACCATCAGTTATGACTTTACTGGACTTAACCCTGGCTCTGTTGCTACCTGGCTGGGGGACTTGGGAAAGTCACCTAGGCTTTCTGGCCTTGGCCTTCTTAATTGGATGGATTTCATGTCCCAGGGACGGCCTCTGTCTACAGGTTTTACACTCTGTGTTGCATACACACAGCTGGGCTACTGAGGTGAGATTGTCCTCCTCAGTCACTCTCCTCATGGACTTGGCACTCTTTCTGCGCTTCCAAATGATTCTAGAGGTATGTGAAATCACACTGCCTCCCAAGTCCTGAACTTCATCTTCAGTCACTTCTGAAGCCACAAATACATCCGTGGTGACAGAGACAAGCATCAGTGAGCGTCTTGGTCACCTCAGGTGCTAGTTAGCTAGACCCTGAGATTCAGCGGCTCGAATCTCTCCAGGAAGCCTTTGCTTATTATTCCCCTTGGATGGAAACGGAGGCTCAGAGGGCAAAATTGCTTGAAGAAGGCCTGAACTAAGAAGCTCAGGAGCTGAAGCTAGGACTGCCTAAGACTGGCCTCCCTTCTCACGTGCAACATGACTGCAGTGAGGCATCTGGGACTTGGGCTGGAGAGGCAGTGTCTTCTCTCTTCAAGAAAGAACATCTTTCCACAGTAGACCAGAGAGAAACTGAAGCATATGTGGCTTTCTCCATCATTCATGCCACTTTTGCATTTTAGCTATACGACAGGCATCATTCATAGGTCTGAGGCGGTAAGAAGCCATTAAAGATCTAGAAGCAATGACGTCCAGGAGAGAAGGGCTAATTTCTCAAGCCAGGCATGAAGTGCTAGAAGCATCCTTGACAGGTGTCATATGACCAATAGACCTAAAAACCTATGGGAGGGCAAATGACAAGTTGTACTTTGAATCATATGAGCCTCTCAGCATGATTAAAGGGAGATATCTAGAAATCAAGACAAGGACTTCATTTTGAGGTGTGGGATCCTCTATTGCAAATGACTTGGCACTTGTCTTTGCTGAACTTGGGCTTGGGAGGCTAAAGGTCAGAGGTATGGGACACTCGTCATTGATGGGGAATAGGGACTTGGAGGAATGGTGTGGTCACAGCCAGTGGCAGGCCTGGGTCTGCCAGCTTGTAAAATGTTTGCATGCTTCCCTGCATCAATCTGTCCCCTAAGCAGGGACTGTCCCAAAGACTTCCAGTGTAGCAATGTCAAGTCACATAAGCTAATAATGTACCTCCAACGGTCAGGGATAACATTACTGGGTTAACTGCCTATATATTTTAAGAGAATTTTTGAGTGTTTTTTCTTCTTCCATTTTAACCTGGTCCAGCCATCTACCACAATGAAATTGAGTGAAAGTTCTGACTTTCTCCACTGCTCCACAAAAGCACAAGTTCTGAGCACGTCTGTTGGTGGTCCAAGTTTTGCAAAGTGGGGGGCTCTTCTCCAGAAAATAACTCCTACTCATCTGTGTTTTCCATCTCACCAGCTTCTAGACCTTGGACCATTTCATGTGATCTTTCATCGACAGCTCCCCGCAAAAGTGATTAGGGAAATGTAAAACCCAAGTGAAACGAAACAGATCTATTTACTAAGTAAGAAGGGCATCATCCAGCAAAGAGGAGAAGCAGATTAATAGCTGCCTTACAGCAAAAACAAATGAACACAAAATCTAATTTACAAACCTATTAGATTTGCTATGTAAGCTGTTCACAGCTGATCTGATTGTACCTCTGCCTCCAGAATTCCTGCAAGACAAAGGAAATGCATTATTTATAAACCCAGCTTCTCTTTGCAAAGCCATCTTCAATCACCAAGAGACCCCACAGCTCACCTGGACTACTCCAGGGTGAACATGAGCTCTCCAGTCTGGCCTTTCCAGAATGGGCAGTGTTCTGGTCCCAGTTGTAGCCCAAGCATTTTACAGGGAAGTGGGTCTCCAAGATCCTTCCCTGCCCCCCACTTGAGCACTTTCAGTTAGCACCAGGGGTCTCACTTGTGAATACCACTTGGGTCTTGAGATAAACCTATCTGAGATTGGTCTCCCCTGGTTAATAAAGCAGGCTAGTATGACTCAGCATTTGCTCTGGTATGACAGTGTCTATTCTAGAGCCACTTGGCATGACTCAGATCTGCCTTAGCATAACTCAGCCCCTGCTGAATGGCTTCTCTTGGATCCGTCCTAGGTGATGAGATATCTATCATATTTTGTGCAAATTTAGGACACCAGCAATTCAACAGAGGCATCAAGGCTAACTCAATCATACCTCTGACCAAATGTGATAACAATTTAATTTTTATTGCCAGGGTAAATAATGTTAATGTTGTTATTTTTTTTTAGGGCCTAGGGCAGAAGGCAGGTGGATAATGGGGTCTTATATTTTTTCCTTTGGAGCACTTGATCTTGGAGTAAAATTGTTCTACAGTCGTTTACAAGCCCCAAAGTCCTATCTCATATCACTGTCACACAGCAAGGGGATGAATACATGTGGCCCTGGTACCCTACTTTATGACTTACATGTATTTTAGAAAGCCTAAATATGACATGATTATGTTCATTAGATAAAAAATTCTCACCCACTGATTTATAAAGTGTGTGGGGCCAGGAAGATAGCTTGGCAAGGTCTAAGCACCTGCCTGGCAAGCGCAAGGACCCAGGTTTGATTTCTGGGGCTGCATGCTGTGCCAGCCCCACACTAAGCCAGCCACCTATACTGGCAGTGGTGGTGCACACTAGTAATCCCAGCACTGGGGAGGCTGAGACAGGAGGATCACTATGAGTCTGAGCTGCATAGGAAGACCCTGTACCAAACAAACAAAGAAAGGAAATATTATAAAATATGTGGTTTGGGAGAGGAGCTCAGAACTTTACTATTTATTTATTTATTATGTATTTAGCACAGGGTGTTCAGGGTCTCATCACACAGATTGGACTCATAGTGATCTGCGTGTTTTCAGCCTCCCAAGTGCTGGGATTACAGGCACACACCACCACACCCAGTCTCAATTGCCCACATGGTGTGCCCTGGAGGCAGGCCCTCATGTTTTTAAAAACATGATTTAGTCTTTCAGTCAAGGTGTTGATGTACTCTGAAGAGGGCACACTGGGCAGGTGATGCTTTTGAGGGAACTCTGTCATTACATGAGACTTCCCTGTGGGGAAGGCTTGTCTACGCAGTGGTTTTAAGTATGGATTTTTAAAATTTGCTTTGCTTAGTATCAGCTGTCTGATGTATGTAACACTGTGTGTGCATGTTTATATAGATATGATATACTGTCCTGATACACTGAAATGTTTTCTCAATAGGTAATTTTCTCCCACTTCACAGGTAACTTATCAGGACTCACCCAGGGTTTCACCCCAAGTGCCCCTTTAAATGTTATCCCTGCAAGTGTAGTTCTTTTTTTTTTTATCTGTATTTTAGGGAAGGGTCTTCAGGGTGTTCAGGGTCTCACTACAGGAGACTCATAGTGATTCTCCTGTTTACAGCTTCCCAAGTGCTGGGATTACAGATGCATGCCACCATGCCCAGTCTCAATGGCCATCTCAGCATGCCCCGGGGACTGAGCCGGCACTGCAGGCCCAGGGATTGAATCCTGGCCCCTGTGCCTGCTTGCAGGTGCTTTAATCTGCTGAGTTATTTGGCTGTCCCAAGTGTAGTTCTTAATGGCACAGAGTAGCTACTTCTCATTTTAATTTAATGCCTGTACTTATTTATTTGTCTCTCTCCATTTCCTGTGGGGAGGCGGGGCTCCTGCATTGCCCGCCTGGAGTCTGACAGTATCCTGCCAGCTCTGCTCCTGCAGCCTCAGCCCACTGCATCCGGAGGATTTGCAGGGAGTGCTGCTCTCCATGTGTCACTGTCCTTTCACACCTCCTGAGGCAGCCTCAAAAGCAGCCCTCTCTGTGGGAAGAAGGCCCACTGGGCCAGATATTAAGTTGAGCAGAGTGATTAAAAGCAAGGTAGTAACTCAAGACTGATGAAAGATGGATGAGACAAAAAGGATCTTCTGGAAAGCCTGCGTATAAGCATCGATGCAAAAAATGTCATTTTCAAAGAGAAATGTAAGCAACGATTTGGAGTGGTTGGTTAATAATCTGGTGATGTGATTGGAGGAAACCTGATAAATATCCTACTCAAAAAGCAAAAAAAAAAAAAAAAAGAATCTCAGATGGATCTATCTAGTGTCTTCCAACCTTTAGTATATTCAAACCCCTGTTACAAGTTTTCCATATCTATCATCCCAAACCACATAAATTTTAAAATGGACTCATTAACTTGTCCTTATTCTAAACAATATCATCTGGGAAATACAGCTTTGATGTTGTACATATTCATCTTTAAAAAGCTCATTGAATCATTAAACCAAAAGTATCCCTGGAATTCCTAAAAAGCATGTCGCATTATCACTGCACCACCTCCTGGAAAAGACTGGACTACACGGGTAGATGTTTAAAGGCTGCAAACCACAAGAAATTGGTTCTACAAAAGGAAGAGAATATTTATCAAATCTTTGATAAGGACCGCACAGTGTAGTTGAGGGACTTTTCAAGTTCAGAAGGGTAAGAAGAAGAAATAATGAAGAATGTAGGCAGATATGACTTCATTAAAATATGACACTCTGCTTATTTAAAAAGCAAGCTTCAACAAACGAGTTCAGTGCATTTGGTCAAATCTACAAGGGATCCAGGTGAGGACAGCATAGACTCTAATTTAATTTTAATTTTTATTATTTATTTATAAATATTTTTATTGAGAAACAACAAAGAGACAGTTTCAAAACTGATTAGTAGGACAGTTTCAATAATTAATACTTTGCATATTGTTGTATTCTTAGTGGTTATTCATAGTACAAGATGCAGACATATATCCTGTCCACAGTCTTAGTACAAATCTTTCTATTCACTGAATTAAGAGAAAGTAGCTGTATATTCTATTTTGAATATGCAGATACAAAATGGTTAATTTAATTTTTAAAGCTCATTCATTTGACAAAAATTTATTTCTAATATATCTGGGGTCTCTGTCAAAGCTGACATATATGGTTCCTGCCCTGATGGAATACAGTTTAACAGAGAGTGCAAAGATGAATTCTTTTTCTTTCTGAATTCTCAGTCTCCCACCCACTTCACTGAGGTGTAATGATCAAACAGCATTTGTGTGCATCAGATCCACTGATGCAAGCAACCTCAGATCAAATAATATTTTTTAAAAAATTGCACTGGTCCTGAATATGTACACTTATTCTTGCTACTATTCCCTAAATAACATAACAATTATTTCCATAGCATTTGCATCATATTAGATATTATGACTAGAGATGATTATCACTATTTTGTATAGTGGCTTCAACATCTGTAGATTTTGGTGTCTTTGTGTGGCGTTTGTCCTGAGATCAGTCATCCACACGTACTCAGGACCAGCTGTACTCATGATGTACAGTGTCATGTTGTGATACACCAACACATGGTGAGATGGCTAGTCTAATTAACATCCATCACATCCCATACTTGCCTTTTTTGTCATGAGCACAATGAAGCTTTTATTGGCAGTGATTTCTTTTTATTTATTTATTTTTTTTCCGTGTATTTGGTACAGGAGCTCACTATGCAGCTCAGACTCGTAGTGATCCTCCTGTTTTCAGCCTTCCTAGCACTGAGATTACAGGCGTGCGCCACCACGCCAGGTCTTGATGGCTGGCTCAGTGTGCGGAGGTGGCAGGGGGTGCGGGTTGCAGTGTGGCATGTGGTACTGGGAATCGTACCCTGGTCTCTGTGCTTGCCAGGCAGGCACTTACTTCGCTGAGCTATCTAGCTGGCCCTTGATAGCAATTGCAAGTGTCTAACACAATGTGATTAGCATCGGTCACGATGCGGTGAAATAGATCGCCAGAACTTATTCATTCTGTCCGTTGAAACTTGGCACCCTCAGACCAATGCCTCCTCCTTGCGCGCTGCCTGGCAGCCATGCCTGGAGTGGGCCCTGTGGCCTCCAAACAGCTGGCTCCCTGTCTATCTCCCTCCCTATCTATGGAAACGTAAGGTCCTGCTGATTCGGGCAGGGGCGGGGTGGGGGCAGGGAGGAGATTGCACATCTCTGGACTTTTCCATAACCACCACCTCCTCTGAGGCTTCTAGTCCTGGTACTATTGACATTTAAACTGGAACATTTCTTTGCTGGTAAAGTTGGAGGTGGGAACTCTCAGTGTACCGTGTAGGAATCTGGCAGCTTCTCCAACTTCTATCCAACGCATACCAGTAGTACTCCCTCCTTCCTCCAAGATGGGAAAATGTGTCCAAACTTTGCCAGTGTAGGCCTCTGGGATACAGGAGAAGAAGTGTCTCCAGCTGAGAACCTCAGCTCTAATTCTTTGGTCTGGTGCCTCTCAGAATTGGAACCATCCACCGTCTACCTCAGCATGGTCAGCAGCCTCCTTCTCGGTGCCAGCCTTGTGCCAGTCCCCAACCATCTGGGCCTCTTTAGGAACCATCCTGATTTTTAGTTCTTACCACTTTTTCCTTTTCCTCCAAGAGCACTCGGTTCTGTTACAACATTTTCCACCTGCTTCTTGGATTTCATAATTTTGTGGAACCACAGATGAGGGGCTTTATGGAAATCTTCTCTTTTTTAGACTCTGTACTCTATCATACAGTGGAGAGCCTCTGGCGTGGACTTGGGGTCCAGTTCCAGCCTTGGCTTCTCCACCCCAGCAGCATAATCCCCTAGAGTGTAGGGTTAACCATGTG